GGACGTGAAAGAATTTTTTCTTTTTTTTTAAGGGTAAACCCAGAAGCTAATGAGATTAAGGTTGATATTTGGGCGTCGGCCAGTCAGAGGGTGGAGCCGTGTTTACCACCAAACATTCAGATCTGGACCCGTCCCCAAAACCATGTCGCAGTAGACGAGAAGGAAAGAAGGAGAGCGATTATACCAAGAGGAAGTCGGTGTAGCTTTTAATGCTCCATTTGAAAATCAATTTGTGAAATAGTTATTAGCTTCAGTTATTGATCAAACTGCTGGAGGGTGAGGTCTAATGCAGCCACTCTCCGTGGCTCCGGCTCTGCCCGCTGGACAGATTTTACCCATTTTTTCTTTATAAATAAAACTTAAACAGTGTGAAAATCTGTTCGATGTTTGAAAGTCTACATTCTCAAAAATCATATTTTTTAGTCCTGAAATAGAACTGGACACAACAGTCTGCTCGCTCACAGCGTGACTCAGAGATGGAGCGAGGAGGGAAAGTGAGACTGAGGCGAGAGAAGGATGGAGAGTTTGGAGGGTGGAAGATGGAGGGGGGGGTGAGAGGAGGGGACAGCCAATCAGAACCAAGTCTTCATGAGTCACTCCAGTCTCTCAATCAACACCTGTTAGTGCCGTTAGGACTGGGGACGGAAACCCCCCCCCGTATTCTCCTCCTCCCTCCCCCAGGGTGGGGTTTATTATCTTTTACCCAGCTGATTATTAAGAGAGAGAGAGAGAGAGAGGGAGAGAGAGAGAGAGAGCCCAATGTCTTCACTGGTTAATTCACAAAGAGCGGAGCCAATATTTTCCCAGCGAGTTCCTCGCCAACTGTCGTCAGACGGCGGTTTTGGTTCCAGTGTCTCCGTGCCAGATATGGTATGAATGCTGCGCTGGTGATTCAGGCTTCGCTCAGGACCATGAATTAGGGGTTTTGTTTGTGGCCGAGCGAGAGCCTCTAGATCTTCCTCCCTCACTGCCTGTCAACATGCCTTCTCTTCACACCAGGGTTTTCTGGATGTTCTTGTTTTTGGTAACAAAAAAAATTCCTTATTGTTATTAAGTGATATTGGCAGGAACCTGGTACTGATTCAGCTGGTATTGGCCAGAGTTGTGTTTCTACTCGAGGTGATGTGTAGTAATACTACATCAGTCTGAAGAAACGCAACGAGATAAGAGGAAGAATTCAACAGCTCGGTAACACGGAGCTGACGGAACCCTGGAGGTTTAAATCTAGATGAGATGAGATTGAACTTTATTGATTCCTACACGGGGGAAATAGTTGAAACATTGGCTCTTTTTTTTTTTTTTTTTTCTGTCAACTGTTGAGTTGCGTCAGTCGTTCACCGACCGTGATCGTCGTACATATTTTAAAGATTCTTTGTCAAGCTGATGAGTTTACGTTCACACTAATTGTTTTCACCACGGTGACGTCAGAGAGGGGGCGCTAAACACCCGACTCCAGACTCAGGCCCGTGTCTGACACTACGAGCGGTCGCCCCACAACGACAACAACAACAACAACATCGACGACGGCGACGCTGCAGATAATGACGATTCAAATGTCACTGTGCGTTCAGGATGTTTGGACACTAAATAAATCACCGGGTGCTTCCCGTTTCCCCGGGCCGACTCTCTCTCCGTGTCACTGAGCCGCGCCTTTAAACAGCCTGCGATGAAGGCAACCCTAATTGCGAGAGGACGATGATTGATTGAGCCCCCTGGTGGATCCTTAATTTATTTGTCCATCCTCGTAACCTTTCCTCACATGTGATTGTGCATTTGCAAGTGTTTAAATCCTTGTAGGCCGAGTGTGTCCACGACGCCTCGATGAGCAGCCCGTCTGGGTGAACATCAAATAAATGTGAGTGTGTGTGTTTGTGTGTGTGTTGCATAAGAAGACCGAGGCGAGGAGGCCTTATGGTTCTCGCTGCACAAAATCAGTTTGAGAAACAGCAGAAAGCGAACAGGTCTATCTTCAGGGAGCATTCCCACGGAGCCTCATTAGGGACTGTGGCAGCGAGGAGGAGGAGGAGGAGGAACGAAGAGGCATCCAAGGCAGATGGTGGTGGAGGAGGGCTAGCGCGCGGAATATATAGGAATGCTGGCAGAGACGGAGGAAAATTGATCTCTGGGGATAATGGGAATGATGAGCGTTCACCTCTCTCTTTCTGCGGGGCGTTTAAAAAACGTTTGGTTTGGTTTCGACTTGAGGGGGAAAAAGTGTAACAGGAGAAAGATGGTAAAAACACACCTCTGGGCCGCTGCCTGTGTCATCGCTCCTACATTTTTACCTCCCGGTTTGTTGCCCTCTCTAACCCCCGTCTTTATGGGACATCCTGGTCACTGGAGATCTCCAGCCTCCTCCTCCGTCTTTGCTGTTGTTCCACAGACCTGGGGGCAGTTTTTGCGGCGCCGTCTCCTTCTCCGTCTCCTGGTGTCGCACAGGTGGCGTGAGAGAGCAGATTTAACAGAGAGCTGTAGATGATGGGTGTCTGAAGGAGACGGAGGAGAAGTGATGATGAGGATTGATGCCCAGGTTGTTTGTTGTTTTCAGATGCTACGGAATAAAAGAAACTGCTGCCGTGGATGGGGTTGATTTACTCATACTCTAATAAAGCTGAGAACATAAGGATGTGTTAAAGTAGAATCTGAGATTTTCCTTCAGACCTGCTGTCACTAACTTTGATTTGACCTGCGGTAAATGAACGTTTGACTTTCTCCACCCGGTTAACAAAACAGGTCCTTTTTATTTTTGCACAGTTTCTTGTATTTTCAGACCAAAATAAATGTGTTTGTTTTTTTTTTTTAAGAAAAGAAAAGAAAAAATCCAACATGTTTTCACCAAGTACAGATTTGTATCTACGTGGTTGGCCTTTTGCGTCGAGTTCCCACCGAAGCCGGTCGCAGCCGTCTGGGGAACAGCAGCAGCGTCTGCACACTGTCAGTAATTGAATAAACTACCTAGTAACACAAACGGAGCAGGGAAACCTTCACGGCAGGGAAACCTTCACGGCAGGGATCTGTAATGAGCCGCAGCTTCTTCCTCTTTGGTTTTAATAACTGCAGTACTGTCTGTGTACGAGTCCCTGACCCACAGTTACACTCTGTCGTCCACTGGGCCACGTTCAGTGACCAGAGGAGAAGTTATCACTCCACGGGTCACACAGTCACCACAGCACGGCTGTAAACTGGCTTCTCATTGGACTACACAGTCAATTCAGTAGTACTGTACTACTGTAGTACTGTACTACTGCACTACTGTATTGCGGGTCACACAGTCACCACAGCACGGCTGTGAACTGGCTTCTCATTGGAGTACACAGTTCAATAGTACTGTACTACTGCACTACTGTAGTGCTGTAGTACTGTACTACTGTAGTACTGTACTACTGTATTGCTGTAGTACTGTAGTACTGTACTACTGTAGTACTGTAGTACCTCCAGCTCAGCCCCCAGTATATGTATGTGCATGATTCAACTTCAGGTCAGAAGACAGGCTATCAGACCAGACTAGCCGAGCGCAGAGCACAAAGTTAGTCTATTCGGTCTAGGTTAGGTGAGGTTGAAGTTATTTTTAAATTAAAATTTGATTAATCACAACTATAACTATAAGCGTGACTCACGATTAATCACGAGTAATTGTAACTAACTGTGATAATGATTGATGATTTATTTATGATTATTGGTGATTAATCTACAGGTTCTTAGTGATGTATCCACTCGTTTGACAGTCGTGGTAAAAAAGCTATATATTTTTTCGTCTTTGTAATCAGAGTACAGATTACAGAGTACAGATTGGGGTTGGTACTGCGATATTTTCAGAGAGTGAGGTTTGGTCATTTATTCTTGCGTTTGTCTTCGTTCGTGTCGCAGGAACGGCCTTGTGTGTAGCTGTGGGTGAATAACGTTAGCGACGAGAAGCCGACACTCGTGTTCAGAGACTTTTC